TAGTTGGTGGGTAAATATTAATTGACATAAGTGAAACAAAGTACCTTTTTATGTTTTTAAAATGTATGAATTTATATTTATGTTCTCTCCAAAATAAGAACGCACCATATATTTGAATGAAACTTGTAACAATGTCTGGGGTCCCTAAGGCCCTAACTGAGTTTAATCACTCAGTGATTCACTACTCTGCGCATACGGGCCTGKGGTGGGGATGCATGCACCATTCACCAGTTTTTACCAGTTTTTGTCTGCTGCCCGGTGCATTCTTATTCTGTTTAGACTATATAGAAAATAGTARGGGTGGCCAACATGGATACGTCCACATGCCACATAGATAAATACATTTTATAATTTTTAAAATTTTATCCTATTTTATTTATCGTTATTAAATAAATATTGGTTACTTTAGTAAGATGCGAGCTGCATTTAGATTACCCCTTGAGTATAGTATCAATAATATTTGTTTTTATAAGAGGATTTCAGCACACTATTTGTGTTCTCTCTCTGGCTTACGCGCAACATGAACAAAATGCATTTACACAGAATCGTTATTTCTATGTTTTTAAGTAATCTTAGAGTAAAATAACCCATTACAAAAAATTATTCTCTATCTTTTTTGTAATAGGTAATTATACTCTAAAATTAATTAAAAGCATAGAAAAAACGATTCTACGTAAATGTATTTTGTCAGCTGCGTACAAGTTGATTCCCGGAGGATTTTATATTTTCTTCAATGTTTAATAAAATATTTAGCCTATTAGCATAACCCAAGAAACACCAAGAGGAGCTTGGCTGACAAGTTTCTCAAAAATGTTGTTTTTTCATATTTTGAAAATCATTCAATTTTTATTTTTTGTATTATATTATATTATATTTATTATTTATTAAAAAAATTATTAAATACACTAAAATACATAAAATAAGTCTCGTAAATCAACTCACCTATCGCGGTTTTGTCTATGTTGTGCGTGGGTCAGAGAGATAAAACAAATAGTTTTTTATAATATCCACTAACCACTTAAGGGAAATATTAATATTATTATTTCCTATGTGGCTGTGCATGATAATTTCCTAAATATTTTTACTCCTGATCCTGAACTGTTTAGATACATTAATTAACAATTGTTTTTCTTTAAATATTCATAACTAAAGTATTTATTCAATGATAACACTAACTCTACTGTACAGCAGAGTAAGTTGTTACCTTCTTTAACCCCCCCCCCCTCTTATTTGCTTTAAACTCCAAATATATAAAATAAATTCAATTTCAAATGAAAAACCACCCTTAAAATAAAAGATTTTACTGCCTAAATCTCAATAATGCTGGAAGAATAATATTCATTGTAAAACCAATAAATTCATTACTTTGCTCAAAAACTTAATAAAAATAGATACCTACCCTACCTATACAGGGTGATTCTTTTATCAAATAACACTTATATGGTGTTTGTGTGTAAATACCACCTAACATACACCTATAACACACAAAATTGACGAATTGACGAAAAATGAAAATTTAAACGTGAAAATTCATTGAAAAAATAGCCTTTTTAGTTTATCAAATTTTAATTATAGGTTGTCATTTGAAAATCAAAAGTTGATAATGGTTAACCTGATAGGGYTGAAAAGGGTGAAAATATTTAAAAAATATATAGTTCTAGAACAAGATGGTTCCAAAATTTTGAAAAAAAAAAAATTTGAAAAAATTCAATAGTTTTTGAAATAATGAGTGTTGTTTGATAAAAGAATCACCCTGTATAATTAAAATATATTCATATTAAATTTGTTATTAAAACAATTAAATGTTTTCATTTTCATTTCAGTACTTAGCTAATGCAGCTACATATCCATTTAATGTTGTATCTGCTTGTACAGCAATCAACAACTGCGGGTATGTGAATACTTTATTTTATATTATCTGATATAATAACATGAAAATATTTTTTTGAACAGGTTAGCTGCTGGAATGCCTCCAGATATGCCTGTATTTGGAAATTGGTTAGAATGTATGAAATATCTGTACAGATGTGATCAGTTGAACCGTGGATCATCAACTTGGTTCAGACGTGTGCCACAAACACAATCAAAACTTCTTAAATTTCTTTAATTTAGGTGTCTAGTCATTCTATGTTGATTGTTATTTAAATGTACAAAATAAGAATAAGTTAATATTTTAGTAAATATTTTTAGCAAAACTGGAAACATAAATAGTATTGTATCATCTTATTTTTATTATTATTAATAATTTAAACATTTATGCAGAGCAAAATTCTTATTTTTTTTTTCAGTAAAGATGAGAAAGGTTCAATTCTAAATTTTGAAATATGTTGTTATTTGTGCAATACTATTTACAAAATTAATGAAATATCAATTCATACATAATACAGTGAATTCTGTCTTAAGAGACAAAATAATAAGTTTCTGGTAAATATATTAGTATGAGACATATGTGCGCTAATGGGTATGTGCTTGCTACCCTGCGGGCAGACACTTGGAAGTACATGAACAATGTCTTAGWTCATAATTTCAACTGGTTAGTTTCTGCCGTTAGTGGTTATAAAATGGTAATAATACAATATCAATATGGAGTATGGACTTGTTTTTAAAATCATTGTGGATGGTTTTCAATAATTTAAGGAATAAGGTAATATAGGTTATATTTTCAGTGTAGGTATTTACTATTTATATTTTCCTACAAATGACAATGATTACATCTTAAACTTTACAATTTCAATGCGTAAATACTGAAAAGTCTTATGTTAATTATATTAGTTAAATAGTTATACTAAAATAAATTTATTCTATTCTTTGCTAATATGAACATTAACAAAAATATCTTTACTGTGCATTTGTAATCAAGWTGCAGTGATAACCCTAAAGTGCCTGGATGAATTAATKTTGATATTCATAGAACAAAAAATTTCTATTGGAATTGACACAGAAGATGTGGTTGAAGAATTTAAAGTCCTTATACCAGTAGAAAGAAGGCTTGAATTTTAACAATCATGTATAATGTAAATTTTCATTTCAATGAACATGTGTGTAAAATAATGCTTCTCATCAAATTAGAAAAAAAATGATTTTAATAAAAAAAGAAGAAAAACCTAATTTTTTTTAATAGAAATTAGTAACCAGAAGTTTAAAATGAAATATCATGTACATTAATTTTAGGGTCATTTATATTTTCTATCTGTRGTAGAGGGGCATATTTTATCAGCCGCATACTCTGCAAACCTTTCTGCAATGTACATACTACACATTGTCTGGAATTTAACTTTTGATGGTCCTGAGAGTGTTCTTTGTAGGTAGTTTTCAGTGTATTTAGAAACTTATATTGGGTTTAAGATATTCTGTATAAAGGCGATTGGTATATAACTTTATTATTTATATCAGTAGTGTAGCGTGAATCTAAGAGGCAACGCTCCTTTAAACACACATATTAAATTATTAAACTATTTTGCACAAATTTAATTTTAAAAATATTATATTAATGATAAAGTTTGTTTACTACATTTAAATTAGTTTAAAACCATAACATTTTATTCTAAAAATTATTATTTTAAGCCTTTGTTTGATTATAAAATATTTTCTCAGTTTTTTCTTATGCTATGACAAAAGTATCATGATTCTTAGGTGTATTAAAATGCCAAAATACATTACTAATCTAAGTGTGTGAAGATAGTTCCATCCTATCAAATTTATCACACCTTTAAATTATTATTTTTTTTAATTTAATGTATTGACATTTTTATGTGTTATATTATATACTTTAAATATATTTATTTTAGGAATATTTAAATAAACAAATTACTCTACATCTTCTACAGATAGTACTTATTGTTTTTAACATTTAACATACTTTACTTTTTGTGGTTTAACATCACTGACTCGCAACCGCATGGAGATTTTTATTGAAGATCACTATTTCCCTGTAGCTAATTAAGAGTTGATTTTATTAACAGGAGATTATTAAATTATTAATTTATTAAAAATATACATACAATGTACAAATTTAGGAATAAAATTGTTTGACATAGGCTACAACAATCCAACTTAACTTTTTTAAAAGAAAAATTCAAGGAAGGTATGAAATAAGACAACCAGACTCTAGAGATTTATGAATTTGTCACCTAATTTTCTTGAGAAATTATGATGTTGCAGATTTTTCAAATTTCAGTGTCATTATAAGAAATTGCAACTTATAAAAAGTTTGAAATTTATCATTTATATATGAAATTGTATTTGGCACTATCATTTTTTGTAGAACAATTAATGATTACAGTATAAATAACATCTTGCAAATTATTTATACTGATAAAAAATTAGTATATTATTTTTGGTGGGACCAACTCCAAACATATCTGATGTGGAGCTAACAGACTTGAAAAGTACTGAAATAATTAGCTCCAAACTTAACACACATATTTGTTGAGATTCAGAGAATTCTTATATCTACGTTTCTTATCCTCATTAATATAAGTTGGTATAGAGTGACTAATTCGTGAGTTTAATTTTGGTTCACAAAAATTGAAYACTTTTTGTTTATGTGTGTGGTTGCCATTGGTTAAATAAATAAAATACTTATACAATCAACATGACTATGCAGCTTATAGACTTGACAAATATACTACTTTGTTGATTTTCACAGAAATTTCAAATTATTCTTGGAAAAATAAGGGTAGTTTAGAGAAAAGTTTGAACTCAATTCAAAAATATACCAAATATTATATCAAATTTGTCACAAATATTATCTATTTAATTTTAATTTCACTAAGTGAAGTATACTGACTCTAATTTGCCCATAAACTGTAGTACATTAATTTGAGAATTAAGATACAGTGACATATTTCATATTTTTTTTCATTTTTTCATTTTTGAAATCAGGATATCCAACTAGTTGCACTTAGTAAATTAAATAATACCATGTTAAATATTAAACTTAAATATTTAGCTAATAGGAATGATCTAATTAAAAAAAATAAATATAAATAGTAAGGTTTAAATATTTATGAATCATTTACAAAAATAATTATTTTAAATAGAAACTGAAATTTTTTTTATCCTAATCTAATATTATTTACATTTTTTCAAAAATTTCATGAAATCCACAAGAAGTGCAAGTGTGTTCATAATTATCTTCTTCTTTGTTGTATATTTCTGTATCATATTCATGTTGATGAAAAGCATTTGTGACTTTAGTATATAAACTACTTCTTGTAGACATCCTTAATTCTGAAATAAATAGGTGTTATAAACATATCATGAATCATAAACTAAGATATCTTCCTTATATACATACCTTTGATTTTTTTCTTAAATGTTTTTAACTTTGATGCCTTTTGCTTTTCTTGTCTTAATTCAATTTGTCGCTCCACTTCTTCTTCAGAACCCCAAACTTCTAGTGCTCTTTTTTCTACCTATAAGCATGACACATTATTCATAGATGTTCTTTGTTGACATATTAATATATCAAATTTATTTCTACACACTTGAAGTAAAAGATATAATTTCATTTCCCCCCATCTGGAATTGTGTGGATTTTTGCCCAGAATAAACCTAAGTGGAGGTGGGCGCAAATCAATATCACAATCTTTTAATAAATATTCCTTTTTAGCTTCTGTCCTGGTTATTAAATCAAATTTTTCTTTCCCATATTTTTCCCTGTTAAAAAAAAAAATATGATTATATATTATTGGGAAATATAAATAGTAATTTTTTTTTAAATTGACAATTTAACCTTACTACAATAGATCTATAAACATTATTTATTTATTTTCAGTGTCCATTATATTTAAGTCTCACAATAATACACTAAATTATAATCTATTTAATTTTTTTAAACTTAAATTTATATGAATATTACATACTTGCATCTATCACAGACAGGATGATCAAAATTTGTCATTAAGTATGAAATACCGAATTCGTGATTACATTCAAGACACAAAGGCTGTTCAGTTTTTGATAATATTGGATTAGGCATTAATGCTAGTGTTATCTAAATTAAATAAATCATAAAAATATTGATTAGTTTCAAAAATATACTTGTGTCAACTCCAATAATAACAAACTAAGCATGTGCTGTTTCTCCAAGCAAAAGTTACCACATTTATAGGATCTGACCTACCAAGGATTTCCAGGTTTAGCGTGTGACCTATCAGGAAAAAAGTGCAGTTAATATAATTAAGTAATAAAATATAGTACAGATAGATATGTTATATAAAACAAAATTATAACTAGAAATGAATAATGACCATACAAAAAAATAAATTGCATAATATATTATTTTATGATAAATTTGTAAAACAAACTTATCTTATGTTTTTTTATTGGTGTTTATTATTGAACAGTAAGGTTTTATTTCATTGTCCATTGAACTATGCTAAATTCAGCATAATGGTATGGTAAATGATTTTAATTAGCATCATGTATTAATACTAAGATCTCGATTTTYAATAATAACCATAAACAATAAACATTCAATGGTTTATTTACAAGCAATGGCATCATTTCAACTTTATTTATTCTTGGTACAAACATTTTTACATGCCATTTCAAATCATTATCAGGCCACAACACTTTTTTTGGTGAGGGGGGGGGGGTCAAGTAAAGATAACATTTTAAGAACATTAGTATAGTTTATTTAACATAATGTCACATATAAATCATGTTGACAAACCACAATTATTATTATTTTAGTCAAATTTGTACTTCTAATGTATTTATATTTATACTTTTTGTGGTTATCGGTAGTAAATAAATTTACAGATACCTCAATAATAAAATACCAAACCGAACCTAATCTATACATTTTTTTCACAGCACTCGAAATACATAATATAAGTTAGCTTAATAAAACCTGTAATTTATTGTAAGGGTATCCTTGCTAACAATGGTACAACATAGTTATATAATTAAAAGAAAAAAACATATTAGCATGATATATATTTTTTTTAAATACTGAAAAATTAAAAATATATATAGTGAAAAAAATTAGATGTATTTATTGTTGGCAGGCCAAAGAAAAGAAGTTTAAAAAAAAGTTAGAACAAATGTACACCCTGCACCCCTTCACCAAAKGACACCCCTGTTTATGAGCCCTATCAGCAGTATTTAGAAAATGACTAAATATGTATTATACAATTATGTAGACATATTAACAAATTTTTATGTTAATAAGTGCATTAACATTTACAAACTAATTGTATTAAATTAAATTGTTAAGCAGAGGTATTTTTTGGGGGTAAAAATGGTTTGGTTGTTTAAACATCTCAATAAATTTTAAACTCAATCATTTATCATACCGGTTTATTTTTATCTGAAAGATCATCCTCGTTTAACAGAAATCCAGCTTCAGTGTCTACGTATGATTGTCCAGCAACTGTGATTTGAAGACTTTTATCTACCTTTGACTGATGTAACATAGGTCTTCAACAAACGTTGATTAATTAAATTAAATATTAGAATTTGGGATGTATGAAAGCTATTAATACACATTATAATTAAAGAATTAAAGAACATATTTTTAAAACAAATCTAATACTTTTGGTAAGGTTGTACAGCTGATCTAGCTTTTGATTTTTCATGTCTTATTAGCAATGCTTTTTTCCGATTTTCTTCTATATGTTTCCTTTGATCTTCTGTTAGTTCCATTTTAAATTCCGTTGGGTACAGTACTACAGTGGTTAAGACCAGTAGTTTTAGTAAACAATAGATTATACTGGAGGTAGTATTGAATGTGTAAAATATTTTTAATTATTATTTATTGATTGATTATTTGAAAGCGATTTACAATTACTTTAGTGTTTACTGTTTAGTTTACTATGAACGCTGGGCGATTACAAGCACATAGAACATAAATGAAATCTTATGTTAATAAATAACAATTTTCATTGAATTATTTCGTTATAAGTTAATAATAAATCATTTTTTTTAAATACAAAAAGTATAAAAATTTAATATAAAATAATGAATAAATAAAAGAACTGATAGCACGAACTATAAATTATATTATATTGTACTATTTTAGACAAATTTAGCTGTAGGTATCTAAAATCATGATTCCAGAATATAAGATGAAAAAGATAGGATTTCTGTTTATCAAAAGCGATATGGGTTCGTGGCTAAACAGTAAACTGTTATATATAAAGTTTTATAATATATCTGTGTGCCAAATATATGGTTAATGTTTGATACACATAAAGATAATATACAATAGCTGAAAAACATACATAATTGTATATAATATCAGCAGCAACTAACACAAAAAGACAAAAAAAACTTCTTTTCTTAAGAAATCGTTTAATGTTATCTATGTTTACCAGTTACCGTAAAGTTACTGGCATTACCATATATTCTGTGTTACCACAAACCAATGTTCTGTGCTCCAAACAGTACACGCGAATAGATAAAAACTGAATTTTGTGAGAAATGCTGATAAAGGTGTCTAATGTTGCTCAGCTTGGACGGTTTTTTGATAATACCATCATTACCGTCAAAATCATTAAAATCTGAGAAAACTCAAAATTGTCCAGCTGTGTTGCAGCCTTGCAGGAATGCAGGGCGCAGGCTGACTGTTGTATGCTTGTCTGTACTGAACTACTGACGGTCAAGTCGGTATATTGATTATAAATTCTGTATTTGCCTTTGCGTCGTTCAGAGGGTTTCATTTTCAATGATATAAAAAATTTTCTCGAATTGGTTCGGTGAAATGATTTTTTTCAGTGAAGATTTTCCTGAATAGGAAATTAATTGAACGAGGTAAGCGTTTATAGATTCTGCCCTTTGCACTCACTCTCTCACACACTCACTCATATACTCACTCTCTATCATTCTCTCTGTCTCTACTTGGATGAAACTATGACGGTACGGATCATAAAATATTATATTTAATTGTAATAAATAGTTAAATATCTATTATTTAATATTATTTTATTTATTATATTTTCATAAATGCTTAAATTTAATTTAGAATTGTTTTTATTTTCATAATACAATTTTTGCTCAGCAATTAGGAAAGAGAAAATTAATTAGTAGGTAATAATATTATCCTTCAAATTAATTAATTTAATGAAAAATTATAATTTTGTTATATAAATGTAATTAAGTCAAAATAGATAGAAAAGAATCAAAAATATTTGAATAAATAATAGTTAATGGATAAAAAATAGTTAATCGAATATTCTATACTGGTAAAAATGGTATTTATATACAACACAAATATTAATTTAACTTTAAGTATTATAATTTTAAGATAACATTAACTTACATTTTTGATGGGTAACTGTTAAGTGTTAATGAATGAATAAATTTCAACCACAATTATAATTCTTTACTTAATCAAAAATGAAGATACACTGTGGTCAGTAAATGTTTGATGAACAACCCAGTTTCCTAATATATTGATGGTGTACTGTATTAAAAATTATATCCACATTTTGACCACAATTATGATTATGAATGATAATTTGTTGTATAGGACCCTACTTAATGCAGTTGTAGTAAATAGAGTAGTGTTAATAGATTCCCGGACAAAAAGTCCAGCATAGAAATGGTTGGACAAAAAGTCCGGATTCATTTTTTGATTGCCGGACAAAAAGTCCAAACACATTTTTAGTGTCGGACAAAAAGGCCAAAAATACAAAATTGTCTATTCAATTTTCATTTATAATTATAATGTACCTTATATTATACAATATTATGATGTAGGTATATATACACATGTAATATTAATACATTATATATATAGTCAGTTCATATATAATTATTGTATTGGCAAACGTAATGCGTATATCAAATTATTAATTTATAACTGTAAATATATCATATACGTAACGTTTTAAAAAAAATATTATTATTGTATTATTATTACTGTAGACTAGATTTTTTAAGACGTATAACTTTTTTAAACATATTATTATTATATTTGGATCAATGTTTGTATTGACAATTTTTTAAAACATATAACTCATTTTAAATTATTTTTTTCATTGTATAATATGTTATCTTAAAAATCATAATCCAGTGAATTTCTGTTGTATTTATGTTAAGAATAAGAAAATATAAAATAAAATATATATATATAGAAAAAAAATATTATAATTACACAATTATGACAAATTAGACAATTTTGGATTTTCAGCCTTTTTTTCCGGCAATCAAAAAATAAATTCGCACTCTTTGTCCAACTATTTCCATACCGAACTGTTTGTCCTCGGACTTTTTGACCGATCACTGTGTTAATAATCTAAAATATCCTGTACTTAGTCTCAGTGGCGTAGTTATGATTTTATTCTGGGGGGGATATATAATTTATTGGCTAAACACAAAGTGGGGGGCTTTGCCCTCCACAACCCCTAAAAGTTTTTTTAATTTTTTAAACATAATAATATACACAATTGACAATTAAATTGGTACTTATTTATTACCTCAAGTACACCTTATACAATTTAGTATCTCCCCACCATTCTTGTTATCGTCCCACTATAAATAAAATAAGCAATAGAAATTTAAAAAAATATATATTGTGCTTAATACTWATACATTTAAAATTAAAATAGTTATTCAAAATAAAAAATGAAAACATGTATAACACTATAATTTATAAAATAAGATCCAATTTTCTTGGTTTTTTAGCTAACTTGTTAATTATTTCCTCTGTGTCAATGTGTTCATTTTTGTGACAGCTAACATAGTTAATCCATTCAATCGATCCTGTATAAGATTGATAAGTGGATTAAACCGTGGTTATAATTTATGACATAATATGGGTAATTTTATAACCAAATAATTTTATATCAGTATATAAGTCAATGCATTAAACATAAAAAAAAGGCTCTGGGGGAGGATCTGTCCCCATCATCCCCCCCATAACTACGCCACTGCTTAGTCTTAATCGTATTGATACTTATTTTATTCATTTCAAATTATATTTACTAAAAATTGTTGATACTACCGAAACTATAGAATATAGCTTAAATACTTATTACCTTCATTCACAGTTGTTAGCATATTTTTTTCTAACTTTTAAAAGTTCAATAATACATATCTTATYGTGGACAATATATAACAGCATATCTGGTAAGCAACAATGAGCGACAAGAAGTGAAAAGAGTATAATCTCTCTTAATCATTGGTACTTGGTAGATACAAAAGGTTTCTGATTCAAAAATAGGTAGCATTCTATTTGCAATTAAACTTGCATACACAACAAAATGTATTGTTTGTAGATAAACTGAAATTGTGTTAGTAATATAATTGAATTATTTGAATTGATCTATTTCTTATCTCATGAAAGTATAAACAATAAACAATTCTAATTATTTAATTATTTTCTTCTGCTTACTTCATTTTTTGTGATATTTTATGTAACTCAAAACAACCCAATTTTAAATTATTAACATAGTAAATTCTTACTTTAAATATAACTAAAAATAAAATTTAACATTCTAGCTTATAAATGATGGAAATAAAATATTAATTAAGTGAACAAATTGATTCTCCACCATGGCTTCTTCTCTTCCCTCATTAATCCTATAATGTTATAATTGAAATTCTAGTTTTTGGAATTTTTATGAGAAACCTCTAAACTTTATTTTTAAATGGGTATTTTGACTTTTTATACATTTATAGAGAATATTTTAAATGCAAAATTATTTTTTAGCTGTTCATCAAAACAGATGATTTTTTGATATACTCCATAATATTACATATAAAATATAAAATAGATTTAAAGCCTCTGTTACATAACTATGGATGTGTGCAGACTGGTATCAGGGACAGCATGAAGTAATCCAGCCCATTTCCAATACTATAATTTAATAATTGGGCTTTTGATGAACATTTTCGAAATAGGTCATACAAATTCTCGCTAATTATTGGCGTAGAAAAAATGCTAAATTCATTTTAAAAAAATGGGGGGGGGAGGAAGAGGGAACTGAGAATTAAAATTGTGTAAAATTATGTGGGTGGCTGTAGAAATGTTTCTATGTATTTGCTCAAAACATAAAAAATAGTTTTTAATTATAAATTATTATGTACATGGTATGGAAGTTAAAGCCTATAGTACATATTTGAAGAAAAAATCAGTGGTATCATATTCTTAGCAATTTACATTAAAAAAATGTTTTTTATTTAAAATATGTTTGTCACGGAATACTCTTTAAAAAGTTTAAATCGCATACAAAATTTAAAGATTTGTAAATATGAACTTTAGTATAGTAAAAGTTCCAAAAACTTACATTTTTAATAAATGTATTATTGCATGGAAAAATTGAGTTTTGCATAATTRGGGAGTCAATTTGTAACCATATTCTTATGGTTTTATTTTTTCTGAACTAACTCAACGATATATTTCAAGAATAAATATTCTCAATTTTATTGTGTATATTAGCGTTTTCACGAATATATGAATATAATTTATAGTTTGTAAGAATTATTGTTTGCTCAGTAATTATAGTTAAATATTAACGTAACATACTTATTTTTACTATTTAATAGTTAAAAAATATCAGAACAATTATCATTTTAATATATTCAATAATCCTTATAGAACATAAACAACTCAACAATTTTGCTTAATGAAAGACTGTAAGTCATATTCAGTAGCACCACCACTGGCAGATATTGCATTAAGAAACATTTGGAATTTGGACATGGCATTAGACGTAAATACACGAACTGAAACAGTTGAATTATTAAGTCGTGAAGCTGACTGCCTAAAACACAAGCTTGAAGAAGAAAGAAAAAAACTTAATGATGTGACATGTACTTAGTTTATTATTAAAATATAATTATAATATTTGTTGGCTTATTGATAACTTATGTAATAGTGGCAAATGTTGCGGAACGATTAGAGGAAGTCACATTTCTAAATATAAAACCTAGACGTTTGTTAAAAGGAAACCAAGCTAAAATACTATGTTGTGATTGGTCTCCGGATAAACGTCATATTGTTTCATCTTCACAGGTATATATTATAAATTTATAAATGTGCAAAAGTGTTTAATAAAATATGCTTGCTTGGTGTTGGTGCATACAAATGCTAGGATGGTAAATTACTAATTTGGGATGCATTTACATCTACAAAAGAACAAACTGTTACAATGCCAACAACTTGGGTGATGGCATGTGCCTATTCGCCATCAGGCAACTTGGTTGCATGCGGGTAAGATTGTATAGGGTAGATCATTGATTTTTGTAATAAATTTTATTTTGAATAATAAAGGAAAAACCAAATTAATTATGCCTGATTATTATTATTGTTAATTGATTATCACTTATTAATAATTTGATATATACATTTAAATTAGATATCAGACCACAAATTATATTAAATAATAAAAAAATTCTGTTTTTGTATTTTAAGTGGTTTGGATAACAAAGTAACAGTGTTCAATATATCTAATCCTGAAGAAGATCCATCTGCTAAAAAGAAAACTGTTGGTACACATACAAATTTCATGTCTTGTTGCTTATTTCCAAATTCAGATCAACAGGTAGCATATAGTTTATATATTAGTTAGTTTACATAACATTTGAATATTATTTCAATTTTGTTTTTAAGATTTTGACTGGTAGCGGAGATGCTACTGCTGCACTTTGGGATGTTGAATCAGGTCAAATGTTACAATCTTTCCATGGTCATACAGGTGACATAATGTCCATTGATTTATCACCATCAGAAATTGGCAACACTTTTATATCAGGTGTAAGTTATTATTTTTGTATTTTTTCATACTTCATCTTATTTTAACTAGTCTATTTATAATGTATTATTATGCTACATAATGTATACAAAGCACGTTTATAAATCTTTTCACCATCATACTTAAAATATACTTGCATATATCATTTATGTTCTGAAAAACCTCAAAATAAGTTTAACCATTTAATATGCAAAAACTAAATATTTAAATTATCATTTGTATAAAAAAGAAAAAAATTTATCAGATAACAGAAATTTATTATGTAATAATAATCTGCAAAAATAAACTAACACCGACTGATGATTAAAGTTTCTGTAGTTGACACAAGATATAAATTAAGTCTGTGTATTTAATAATATTAATGTAATGTATATATTAAAAAATCCTGACATCAACATTTATCAGTTAAAAGTTACAGTTTGAACAAAAATTAAATAAAAATTKTACATAACATGTATCATAGAGATGGAGCACAACTATGGTACTAACTGTTGGAACGAGTCCAAAAGATTCTAAAATACACCAGTTATCATTTTAATAAATATAATTTTTTTTTTAAGAAATCATTATCAATCCATATTTATTTTCATTCCGATTGTGTTATCTAAGTACTGTATTCAGTTACAGTAACTATTTCTGTGAGTTCTGGAATATGTGCTAACCATAGTTTTTGGTTGATGCAATGATTAAAAAGTTGGCTAAGAAGCTGCACCAATCTAAGTATCGGGAAACAGATTTTGCTAATGAAATTGTCACTGAAGAAATATTAAATAATATATTTTTTGACATAGACACCACAGCTCTTTGAATGATACATAATTGTAGAGCTTGGTTTCTGATTACAAACTGGATCTAATTTGTGTTATGAAAGAGTCAAATTGAAACTCTTCATGTTTTTAAAAATAAACACATTTTTTTTATAGATATTTTCAGTTAGGTGATCAGCACTATTGCAATAATGAATAATCATCTCAAATAATAATTGAACTCATAAAAAGAATTCAATATACAAAAAAAGTCTCTGAACTTTTAGTAATATAATGAACCAAATTATTTTACCAAAAAACTATATTTGAAATAATAATTACAATACATGCTTACTCAGAGTCTAGCCCTAACCATAAAATATGAGTAATTTATTATTATGTTTCTTTTTAAATATTTGTTTTTTTTTAGAGTTGTGACAAAATGTTACTTTTGTGGGATATGAGAACTGGTCAAAGTGTTCAATCATTTGAAGGTCATCTTTCTGACATAAATAGTGTCAAATACCATCCAAGTGGAGATGCTGTAGCGTCTGGATCAGACGATTCTACAGTAATAAATACCATTATTATTTTTTGTTTATAGTCTTATGTATTTTTAATTTATTAGTGTCGAATGTATGACTTAAGAGCAGACAAAGAAGTTGCCGTCTATTCAAAAGAAAGTATTTTGTTTGGAGTTAATTCTATAGACTTTTCAGTCAGTGGTAAGTTAAATTCCTAATAGTAAACACAATATTAGTAGTACACAATATTGGCATTGGCGCAACTAGGGGGGGTGCAAAATGGTCTTTAGAACCCAGAGTTCTAATTTAACACCCCTTGATATTTTAGATCTAACTATTATAATTATAATAAAATAACATCAATTTTATGTTTTTAATAGTATAGCACCCCGCGTTTTGGAGGTCTAGTTGCGCCTATGAATATTGGGTGTATATTATTTTCATTTATATGAAATTGTTTTTGTTTTTTTAGTAACCTTAGWTAAAATCATTTATCATACAAATTATAGAATAAAAATATTTTTGAGAGTATGGCATTTGTTTTTACATTATATTATTATTTGACTTTAAAATAAATTTTGCTAACTTAAATGGTGTTTAAATTGTTTTGTGACAATATTTAGACAAATTGATATGTCATTCCTTCAAAAACATTATTCTTTATCAATTTTGTTATGGACGAGTTTACTCTAAGATTATTTAAAAACATAAAAATTAATTCTGCTTAAATGTGTTTTGTCTATATTGCATGTGGGACAGAGAGAAAACAAACAATGTGCTAACATCCTTTAAAATAATTTATATTAATACAATGTTAAAATTATGTTTTTAGGGAGAATATTATTTGGAGGCTATACAGATTATACCATAAATGCTTGGGATAGCTTAAAATGTGAAAGAGTGAGTTTATTGTATGGACATGAAAATAGAGTTACAAGTATAAAACTTTCACCTGATGGAACGGCATTAGCTTCTGCCAGTTGGGATGCTTCTTTACGTGTATGTATATTAACTGATTCAGTAATTCAAGAGTTTAAAGCTTTTTTAATAAAAACAATTTTTTACAGAATAGTTATCCTTTTTAAAAAAAAAAAATTAAAATTGTGTAACTTTATCAAAAAGCTTTAAAAATCTTAATTAAGTATCTTCAAAAAAAAAAAAAGTTGATACTTGAAATAACCATCTTTGATGTTTATACAAACATGTTATTAACTTCTAAACAATTTATTATAAAAAACTTTTTTRTTATAGGTATGGGCATAAGTTAAGAAAATTCAAAATTTTCGAATGTAGATCTAGTCAGTAATATGTTCTGTACAACTATATGAGTTAATGATCACAAATAAATAATTATTTAATCTTAGAATAGTTAAATATATAAAAAATAATTTTATTGTATGTTGTATATTATATTATTTTAAATATTAAACAATATTTTATTTGGAATTAAAAAAAAATTATACCAAACATTGAATTTATTCATCATCTTCTTCATTTAGCTTATAAAACTGAGTAAGTACATCTACATCAACAGGAACATAGAGCACATCAGCATCACGTTTCCATTTTACTAATTCGTGATCAACAAATTCAGTTAACTGACTTCTCAACGCTAGATCTGTACTAACTAAAAACCGTTGACGACACCAACGATACAAGGTTGAGAATGGAACACCTAGATTAATTTCATATGTAAATTATTTTATAAAAAACATGAGCAATATAAAATATATTATTATATTATATATATATATAATACCTCCATATTTTTTATCATTTTTGTTTTCAATACGATTTTTAATTAGTAATAATAAGATACTCTTAGCGTTGGATGGAAGAGATTTGAAAACATTATTCAATCCTGAAAATGAATGTTGTGTTCCAATGTTTTTAACCATTAGGGATTGTATAAAATTAGTTTCAACTGTATATGGCGAAAAATTGGTGCAGTCCATCCAAAGAAAATTGTAATCCCCAAGTTTTGTATTATCAAACACTAAAAAAAATATTTGTAAGGTCAATATATAGGTATTAGCTAAATTTTAAACAGATCAACACCAACTTAGAGCAGAATTCACTCTATCAATTGAAGCTATTAAATGTACTCTTTTTAACGAACAAATCCTTGAAAGTACGTGCTGAGCTTTGTAGTTTTGCAATTCAACACCATCCAAATTGTTTATAAGAATATAGATATGTTCAGAAGTCTTTAATTTTTGTTTTTCTTCTATTAGCTGAATTGCGAGTTCAGCACTTCCTGGACAACTTTCAAGATCTAATAAATCAATTGTTATAGATTCTAGTATCTGAAAAACATCATCACATAAGATAATTAAAAATCAAAAGCATTCATAATTAACAAATTATTAACTATTACGTACTTCTTTCATTGTCAGCCCAGGAAAAAATCCATTAATCACTAAAACAGACTCTTCCGCTAATACAGACATTCTAAAATCATTAATAATTTGTCTTTTGGAACCCAATCCATAAAGTAGTAAATTAAAACCTTCCCTAAAAAAATCAAAATACTGAATAACAAAATAATTTGAAAACATCAGAAATAGTTGTTACCTTAGTAAAGACATCCAATATGGAAAATTTGACACAATATTTTTGTACATCGAGTTTAACTTAATATCATGTTTAGTATAAGAATTTTCGGATAGTTGATCAACCTGTTCTTTGTCTAAAACAGGGTTTTTCAACAGTTTCAATGTATTGTCTGATGTCTTAGACTTTTTCACTGATTTAGCAGACTTGGATAAAAAATATTCATCTGATTTATATATCTAGAAAATATATTGTTAAGTAAAAACACAAATATGCAATTACAATTCACCAAAAATACTTACAAACGGAACTTCTTTCTGTCTAGTAGATCTTCTTAAAGAAGTGTGTGTGTTCTCTGGCTGAACAGTTTTAAGATTAGTATGAATACTAGAATCACTGTCACTAGAATCACTGATACTGTAATCTGAATCGTTTAATTCATTAAGTTGTTCGCATTTTTGATGTGCTATTCCTAAAAAAGGATAAATAAGCAATTCTTTCAATAAATAATTTTTTGTAACTATATAACTAAATTAAATATAAACCTTTTGCAATCTGTTTTCGGACCGTTCTAGGTGTTTTGGTTAATATATGTTCAGAACTTTTCATAGAATGTAATTTTTTCATTTTTTTAGGTGTTTCATAACCAAATTTACTATCAGTTACTCTTGGGGAGTCTGTAACATTAAAATTATTGATTGTATATAATTAATATACCAAAAATACCTTTTCTGTTACACATAATATTATATCATATTTATCACCATCGTCTGATACTTCATTTATGACTTCAGATTTAAATGATGTAGCTGTTCTAGGTGTTTTTTTAATTGAATTTTTTGATTCAAYTTCAATTTCATCATCAGAGAAACCTAAAACAAAAAAGATAAACAAACGTGTATCACTCTGATTACTAGTACTATTTTACTAATGCTAAATAGTAAAATAAATTAGATTCGGACATTTAGGCATAGTAATTTTTTCATTACATGATTTTAATTGCGTTTAGTTAATATAATGTTRGCATTGATTACATTGTACTGATATAATATATCAGTTTTTGGTACTTGTGCGTTATCGCGACTACTGCCCACTCGTCACRACTACMTTGATTTCACTTGTGCATTATCGCGACTACCTTGATTTCAAACGCAACATATTTTTAATACGTTTATAATAATACAAAACTACCCAAAGCTAATATCAATGTATTTATTGATAATATGATAATAATTATAAAATATAATAATAATATGTCAAATTTATACGTCAACAATTACGAGTAAAATATAAAATATAAAATTTAAAAGTCAATTTGTGGTGGCCAATGGTTTGAAATACTATTAAATAAAACTTTGAACTTATCTTCATTATGATAAGTATTCCTCCACATAAACTCTGCCAAGTAAGATTCTAAATGGTGTCACGCTGTACCTCTATGACGTTTGTTTCTCCATTTCGCCGATCCCCAAAGTCTTTCACGTGACAGCGTGGTTTTAACTAAGTGTCCTAAAAGTTACCCAGCTAGTCTATAAAAATTGCGATAAGTGCCTTTATAACGACACTGGAAAAAATAGAATCGCATATAAAATGGCCTCGCAATAACCCATAATATGAAGTAATCGCGATAAAGCACAAGTACCCAGTTTTTATCTCACTATATATAGTGACCCTAATTTTTAGAATGGCTCTACGCCAAATATACAGCCATATACCGAAATGGCCACACTGAAATGTCCTAGACCGAAATAAATTACTTTAATAACAATGTCATAAAATACATTTAGTAATTTAGGCAGAATGTCTTTGGTCAGAATCATTTTTTATATATAATTATTTAATATCATTGAATTCATTTTTATTACAACCGTTACAGTGGTTTTTCAAGGCACCTAAAGTAAAGCAAAAAGTTAAGATCTTAGATCTTAGACACTTTTATTATTGACATTTAAAATTTCAAGGATATTGATATTTACCTTAAATAATTTTAGTTACTTTGTTGTAGTTTTATTATATATCATTTAATTTTGAATTAATCAAAAAAAATTTATAGGGACTTGAAACTTATTACCATTAGGTATATTAATTACTATACACAATGACATTTTCAAAAAATTCAGTTCAATTTTAAGCTATTTATATTATGAATAAATTCATACATGGTATGTTGATATTGATATATTAATAACAGAATTATAGTACAATGGGGTATTATGAAAAACATTTCTAATTACTATAGAAATATAAAACAAAATGTACTCATATAGGTAAAAATATAAAGAGAAAGACTGACATAATTCAGAATCGTTTTTTCATTGCATTCAATTATTTACTATCTTATTTTAAAATTAACATAGTAAATTTAATTATTTACATAAAATTTGCTATGTTGTACATTGTAAGATGGAGACAAAACATGGTACCACATCCTCTTAAATTTAAATTTACCCTTACTCCCCTACATTCTTGTACCGTGTCTGAGCATTACTGTAATATATGCTTTTTACACTACAATGATGACATTAATTTTCTTTAAATATACAAGGGCTGATAAAAAAGTTCTGGTATAGTTTACTTTGACTATAAGGTCTACCACAAGTTCCTTCCTAGAGTTGAAACAATTGTTTTCGTGAGCTTGAAACCTTAAGCCATTTGCGTGAAGCTATGAGAAAGAAGAGACCAGAAATATGGGCAGGCAGAAAATGGATGCTACACCACGACGACGCCTCTGTGCATTTTTCACTCATATTTTTGCACAAAATTACGACGACAGTAATTTCCCAGCCGCCCTATTCACAAGTTCTAGTCCCAGAAAATTTCTATGTGTATCCAAAGAAGAGTACTTTGAACGGGATACAGTTTTGTAATTTTTAACTATTAAAAATAAATGTACATAAAGAAAGTTCTGGAACATTTTAATTAGCCCTCGTATTACTTTAATATTCTACTAAATTACAAATCATTTATATTTTATGACATAACAGTAGTATAGTGATATATAACAAATCTTAATATTTATATGATAAGTTACCTTTAGAATGAATATTGTACATTT